CCATGATAGCCTAGGCTAAACGCCATGGGAAGCAGGATTCCTATACCATAATTTCCTCCTTTTATTAGCCCAATTTCAGCCTTCATGGCTGCTGTTGGTCTTCTGGCATCTGCTCTATCCAATCCCATCATTTAGCTAGGAATCAGACATCCCCATTGGCTGCTAACTATTTATGACATCATTCTCCCTCCTACCCTACCAGCATCTGGTAGAATCTTGATGTTTCCATGGTGATGCCTGTAAACAAATTCGGATCATCACAGTCACCTGTGACCAGTGACCAGTAAGTGCTGTCTGATACTGGACACACTTGCCACTGAGGTCAGATGATCAGACAAGGATGACCAATTACCTTGCTCCATTGTACTGTGGATTGCTGATAATCTCCCTCTGACCATGTCAGGTAAGGAAAGAAACTTTAAAATGTTTCTTTCGATCACTTCTCCGCTTCCTTTCACTATGCTTTTAAGTCTTTGTTTAATGGGCACACTATTCATGTTGATATAGATACCTCCGGTTGAGTGTCATAGTTGGCTTTGGTTCTTACCAGGGGTTAGAAAACAGAAATAACAGAAGATAAACTGCACACATGACTGGAGAGGGACATGAAGGGAGTTGGGAACTGAATGTTACAGACAGCCAGAGATTTTAAATCTAAAGGCACAAGATATCGTCATATTCCAAGCCATTTTTAGGCAACCACACTGCTGAGATTAGTCTAGGAAAGGTTCCCTATCAATTATAGAAAACAAAATCCCACACTGGTCTCTGGCTCTTAACATCTACCCAGCCCATCTTCTAGAGCCTTCCCAACATCTTATGTGCACTGGTGGTGTTGGATGCTATCAACGGGGGCTGGGTACTCCACAGTCAGTTGTTCTCAGGACAAGAACTGACACATGTGGGCAACTTCTCACAAGGATGCCCACTAGAAGAATTACAAGAAATTAACAGTTACTGAGGAACTGATCATTTAAGAACAAGTTAACCAATTATTAAATTAAGAAACAATCTTGTTCAGAGAGGAACCCCATACTACATCAGTATTCCCAAGATGTCACATGAAACATAGGCAAGCACCATGAAATTTTATCATCAGGTTTTATTCTTATAGTCATATATGCATACGTACTTAATGGTTATACAAAAATAAGATGTCATGACTTATACAAGAAGTAGAGGGAAACAGGAGGAGTTAGAGGAAGAACATATAATTACCTAAACATAGTACTTATATATGAAATTCCTGATACATCATTTACTTAAAAAGCTCAAAGTAGAGACAAGCCCGGTGGTCATGGCAAATGTCTATGGTGCCAGAACTCTGGAGGGAGAAGCAGGCCTACCTGTGTGATTTCAAGACCAGAATGAGACCCTGTGTCTACACAGAGTAAAATCTGCACAGAATAGGGTAAAGACATGGCCACAAGAAGCTGTCTAAGGTTCTCCTACTCCAAACCTTCTGTTCTAGGACACAGTTGTAAGGCAGTGTCACAGCAGGTATTAGAGCAAGACAAAGCAGGGGAAAGAACAGTGGTGTCTAGATCACAGTGAGGGTTAAAGCAGATCAACTAGGGAGTACAGTTCCACACGGGAAGAACAGACAGCCTTTTAAATGAGTGTCATTCTATATAGTAACAGGAATCATTCTGAACCCATTTGTTTGGGATATGTGAGGGAACACAGGTGTTAGACTCTCCCAGACAGTACAACCTGGAGATAGCACAGCTCCTCACAGGAAGCGAGAAAGCTTCCATCTCACCATTTTCCCACTGTCCTCCTGTTTCCTACAGAAAATTGCCAAAGTGCACCGTTCTTTGGGGCAGAATGTGTTCTGCAACCCTCTGTGCCTGTGCTGAGGAATGCCACACCCTCAGCAGAAAGTATATGCAACTTCTACGGGGTCTCCACACCAGCCGCGAGCTCAGCATGGCTCCTGCCATCAGACTCCAGCACTTGTTGCCAGCAGCTCATGGACAATGCCTGTCTTTACCAACGAGCTGGCACTACCATGTTGACTGCACTAATGGACCAAAGCCAGATCTCCACCCTGGCACTCCCCTATGCAGGCGTTCTCCAGTGTGATCTCACCGGAAGCACTGATAGGAGGGAAACTGCATTCCAGGACTTCACTGTAACTATCATTGACCAGAATACCACACTCTCCTCCCTGGCTATGACAGCCCAGTGTGATAATATTCTAGATCCCAATGCCTTAGTCCCTCTTTATCCGACACTCTCTGCCAGCCTTGTCCAGGCCACACCATCAGAGGTGCCAAATCAAGGATACAACCTGGCACCTTCCTACCAGGATGGCAGCCAGCTCTGTTACTACAGCCTCAACAGCCTGGGCCCTCTGATGGCGGGAGAACTCGAGCAGTGCCTGCAGGCCTATGGCCTTGTGTCCTACTCTGGAACTCAGGCCTCCTCCCTGCAACCAGAGATGGTGATGATGCTAAAGGAGTTTCAGCCAATGAACATCCAAACACCCTTTTCCACCTCTGCCTTCTACTATCCCACATCTGCTCAAGCCATGACAGACACCAGCCTTCAAGGTGAGTACAGAGCCTGGAGGGGAAGGAGCGAGATCAACCCTCAAACAAAGAAGGCACAACTCTACCTTTCAGTAGTGGACAGTCCATACAAAGGGAGAATGTGAGTTCTGATAGGTTAGGTTTGCCTCGGGCTCGTCATCCCAGTCTTCAGTCTCTATAATGAGAGAGAATGCAGGGCAATGAGTGGCATCCATCCCTCATTAAGTCATGTCCAAGGAGCACCCCCACAGACACACATGTCATCGTGCAAGCTAATTAGTCCCATCCATCAACACACAGCAATCACCTCCTTCCTAATCTATTGCTCAGGGCTCTAGAGGACTCAGAGGCCTTTCTGTTTTCATAACATTTGATTTTCCCTGACTCCAGAGCAATGCAACTCCAAACCAATCCTGGAGGAACTATTACTCCCAGATTCCAAGTACTGGCCCTGCAATTCTCTTACAAATATACGTGCACCCAGAATCCAGTATAACCCGTGTACAATTGCTAAGTTGGGCAAAGCTTCTCTCTCTCTCTCTCTCTCTCTCTCTCTCTCTCTCTCTCTCTCTCTC